CCTCTTGTTGATGAGCGCCTGGTGGTATTGACTCTAATATCTTAGCATCTCAGGCCATCGATGTTTCCACGAATTTGCATAACAAGGTCTCCAAAAGTCAGTACAGTCGTTTCACGTCAGGCCGGTCGTCTGGAAAATTATGGCTGATGTCGGTCCTATAGCGCACGCAGCAAAGGTCTTGCGAGAACTACACCGGAAGAAGGAGGTTGAAGCCCGGATCTCAGGTGCTCAGCACTGTCCCTTGCAAGCAAAGGGTCTTGAAGACTAACTTAGCTCTGCCTGGGATTTAGGAAAACACACAGTTTATCATGCCCTTCAAGACGCGTCCGACGATCTCAGCATGGAGACCATGGCGACGATGGATGAAAAGATCAAGCAGCTGGAAGAACAGTTAACAACACTCAAAACCAACGAAAAGAAAGCGCGAGCGGATTTAGCAACGCTCTCCACGAAGCCATTGCTAAGTGAGCTTCGACACGATGTCGGCCGACTTGAGCAAGAAACACAAGCGGTTTCATCTCGTCTCAAGAAGATTCAGAAAAGAGATTCAATCCAGGTGTCTCCGGAGGAGAGAGCAAAGGTGGGAAAGGAATGGAGACGCTGGAATAAGGTCACTGGCATCCGTAAGACAATATGTCGGGATCTATGGAGTAGATGCTTGGAGGTCGTACCGGACAACGTGAGTCGAGAAGAGCTTTGGGTAAGTACGCCAACTCTTGATGCTGCATTACGGCGTCGATCTGCAGCATTTTCGGTTGACTTTGTCCATCAGGAATCTCTAGGCCTTGAAGGATCCTTTCTTCGTTAAAATGCTACGTTTTATCTGATCAGACAGAGGTAGAGACTGTGAGGAACCGTGATCCATGCGGATGAATAGTCTCATTGCGCAATGGCCACTCCAATTGTCCTTTGAGGAATCGTCTCCTGTGCACTGAATCTTACAGCCTCTTCGGGTGCTTGTTATCCATAGTACCTATGTTAAACCCTGCGGCGTACGGCAGGACCGGTTATTATGAGTTGATTGACATGCGGAGAGGGGACAGATCCTGTTTTTATTGAGAGTCGAGTACGAGGAACGAAAATCGAGGCTTATGAAAGGTATCAGATGATATGGAAGTTCGGCTGTGTCGAGTCACCGGAGAGGGAAAGGGTGAGATTATATGCAAACCAATACTTATCTAATGGTTCACGAGACTCGGTCAGGAGAAAGACCATCGAAGGTGATATGACGCCATTCAGGATGATCATTCGTTGAGGGTACAAACTAGATATTACCACGATCATAGCTACTATCACTTGATATCATGTGCAGCGCAAATCCCTTCCTTCTCCTCTTCCTATGGTAGACAGTCATGGGGGTGGGTTAACTGATATGAGGAATGAAGAGGATCAGCTATCTGATGAGCTTCGTCATACACGTATTAATGTTTAAATATCCTCGAATTGACCTATCTCATTGACAGCAACAATATAATAATATAATATAATGATCTTGAATACCACCAGTACAGACAGAGTATGTAAGTATTATTTATGATTCCCCGCCTGCGGAAATCTCCCCGTGCCTAGTATCCATCTATACGATAACCACCACTAAGGCAGATACATACTACTGACTAAAGCAACCCCTCCGGATTTTCCAACGGTTTTGACTTCCTTCTGTTCTGCCTCAACGCAGCCAAAGGGAGTGTCCTCGCTCACTCGCTCACACTCTCTTTCTCATTCTCATAAAAGTTTACAGATTGATTATCATATTTTTGTGTCTTTCTTTCCGGTGCCCTCGCCCTCGAAATTCGCCATCCCTCCTCCGTGAGATGAAAAATCGTACTCCTCTTCCTGTCCCCTCCGAAGCCCCCTCTGTGCAGAACGGCCATTCGCGCAATCCCTCCGGCTTCGACATGGCTGCCCGCAGTCCTCCCAACCAGAGCAGTAAGTCACAGCCCAGGACTCTTCTTTGTCATCCCTCAATCATATACTGTTCCCTTTTCTCCGATCGCACTCCGGTTACTTGCAGGATTGCCGCTTTCCATGACCCTTTTTGCTCCGCTCCTCACTTCTCTTTTTTTGGCGAAAGACAGAGAGACAAACTAATCTCAGTCGCTATCTTCTCTAGATACCAAGCATGTGCCCTGCAAATTCTTTCGCCAGGGAGCTTGCCAGGCCGGTCCTGCTTGTCCTTTCCTACACTCCACAGACGCCGCGATTGACTATGCGCCTTGCAAATATTTCACCAAGGTACGACCTGTAACCGGATCCATCCTTGTTCCTATTCCCCCCTCTCGTAGCGGCGGATACAAGCAATTTTCTTCCTTCCTCATCCTTGATTTAGAGAGCATGCTGTTGACTGGTTTATTCACCGCGCAATTAGGGCAATTGCAAGTTCGGAGCCAAGTGCGCGCTGGCGCATATCCTTCCTGATGGTCGGCGGGTGAATCGGCCAAGTCCCGGTATGGGAATGGGTGGAGGCCATCTCAATCTTGGAGGGCGCGTCAACCCTCAAGCATATGTCAATCAAGACTCGGCTTTGACGAACTCGGTCCTCTCCCAACAGCGCTTGGGTAATCACGATCCTCGTTACGCTTCGCAATTGCCGCCTCAAGAGGAGTTCGGTGCTCCACAACAGCAGCAGCAGCCACCCCCACCGCCGTTCGACGCCATTCCTACCATCGATGCAGGTTTAGCCTCGGATGCGGGTTCGAAGTATGGGTCACCAGCGGACGACACACGTTTCCCTATGTCTCCGAATCACCGTCACCTAACCGCTCTTGACGCACAGCTCCCCGCATCTTTTGACAGTCAAGGCATTTCGCACGCCGCTCGTTATGGCCCCGTGGCCGCGTCCGTGCCATCGAAGTTCGGGTTGGACCTGGCCTCTCCTCCAGCGCAGAGACTGGGTGGTCCGTCAGATGTACTTCGTAATCTCCGTGACACAGCGTATGGGTCTGACTTCAGGAAACCCTCGTCATTCATGGGGTCATCCCCTCCAGGCATTCCCGAAGATGGGATAGGGCCGAGATTTTTACACTCTGCTAGGCCCGTGAAATCGCGCATGCTCTCGGCCAGTGTTCCCCGACCGACAGCGTTGGATGACTGGGACGACAGCAACTTCCCCATGGAGGAGGATTATCTGCCTATCAATTTGCACGATGATGTCCTCACCCCTCAGGAGAAACTCCGACGCCTGTCGCGCACTGATCATGATCTCAGTTCCAGCCACCGCGATCTAAGCGGACTCGGTATGACCAGCACCAGCTTCTCCAAGATCGGCTCTCCGCTCGCCTCCAGTCCGTCACGGTTTGGTGCCTTATTTGCCAAGCAACGCCAACAGAAGAAGGATGAAGATTCCCACGGTACATCTTTTTCGCACATCGGCTCGCCTCTACGCGAGTCTTCCCTCAATCTAGGTACCAGTCCCAGCTTGGGCCCCATCGGAAGCCGACAGATCTCCGGCGATGTCTCTCCATATGTGGCCAGCCCTGGCAGGCAGTCGTCGACATCTATGATCTCTCAGCAGCTGAGTAACATGTCACTTTACCCTGCTCCGGCCCGTCACTCGTCCGCAGTAGGCTCCAATGGCCGCCTGGACCGTACAATCTCGTCGCCTGTCAGCACAAGCAAGATCGACGAGGAGCAGAGTGATTTAGTCTTCTCCATGGAGGAAGAAGACAGCACCAAGCGGAATAGTACTTCTTGGGCCACCAGTAAGGCGGAATCCAACGATGGGGCATCGACCCCCACAAGTAACTCAGGTTTCCAGCCATAATGTTGTTGAGAACGATTACCTGGAACCAATTTTGCACATGCGTCCATGACAACATCAAAGCGGCGGAGTTTGCGAGCAAAAAGGAACAATTGGGAAACTAAAAAGCAAAAAGTTTGCACCCCCAGTTGAAATTGTGTTCATACCTCGACATTCAAAGGAAAATAGCGGTCTTGTGGATGCCCCTGGATTTTACCCTACTTGCGTTGCCTTTTCTTCGTTTCGTCATCGTGTTTCGCATCTTGATGGGGTTTTTGCATAGAACGGTCGAGCGCACTATCTGGATTTGACTCTTCCTGTTTCACAACGTCGGTCACTTGGTCTAGGACCAAATCAGGCATTTTAATTCAGGTGTTTTGTAACCCGGTTGGGGGAAGTGCCGAGACTGCTGTCATTCTTAGAATTTTTCCTTTCTTTTCTCTTTTCTCTTGTCGTTTCATTTGGGTTCACGTCCTATCTTTATCGGCCATTCCGAAGCTCTGCGAAGGAAGGAAAGGAGAATTTGACTCTGGTCCAACCCCATCGGGTCGACAGTTGATCGACCTCCATCATCCAGGAGGGTGTCATGTGTACATTCTTGGTCTACATCGTTCGGTCTTGACTCAACCACAAGTCCACAACCTCCTTGTTCTGCCTCCAGTCTCTTCTCCTCAAGTCAATCTCACGAGGCAATGATGTTCCCTGGCGCCCCTGTTTCTTAACGCCTCCTTTGTCTATCCCATATTTCCGATATTGGGACTGAGCGGCCCATGGTCGCACTCGATATCTTGCCTGTTCTCCAGGCAGCGCATGGTGAGCCTGTATACGGAGAACTGGGCTGGTTTGTATTTCAGGCAGCATCTCCAAGCTTTCCCGCGAGGACAATTGCTTGGGTGTGCGGGCTCAAGTGATTGGTGTACATATCCGACTCGAACAGAAGACGCTCGGGCATCCGTAAAGCGCATGCCTAGTCCTACGTCTGGTCCCATAGGCTGATGGAGGAATCACTTGGACTTTCAGCTTTCATTGCAGTATCTTAATGCTACTAGTATACACAAACAGTGTTGTAATTCTCGCTCTGCCCATACCAGACTCCTGAACATTACGCGCCCTCCATTTTCCCCATTATTGATATTGCCTTTCAAAGTAAAAATGTGATAACGCCGAAGCTCAAAGAAAACACAGTCACCTTGTATCCTCATGGAAAGGTCTTGAGAGGCACCAATGACACGCGACCAAGAACGTAAATCCGCCCCTGGCACTAAATCCTTGGGTCAATATCGTCCATATACATAGCACTACCTTTAAGGCTGACAGCGGTCGCTTTGCTGGAATAAGCCTTGATCTGCGCCGTCTTCTCTTGAGTGATGCGATCAGCGATGATCCTGCGTGCGCGAGCCTCGGCATCTGCTTGCTTGGCTGTCTCTGCTCGGTTCGAGTATAGATGTTCGTAGATCTTTTCCGTGCCAACCATGACATGGCTCGTCATGATATCAACGGCTTTGGCGGTCAACGCCTCCACACGGACTGCGAGATCTGTCTCTTCATCGGCACGTAGGCGTTTGACTCGCTCCTCTCTGTCGACTCTCTCGAGATCTTCTTTCCGCTTCCGCTGCTCAACAAGTTTCCGACGTTCCTCCTTAGCAGCCAAATATTTTAGGGAATGGCCAAGTTTTTGTTGAATTGATGGAGCGATATCGAGTGGCGGAGCAGAGAAGAATAGCACATGGCCGGAGTCGTCACAATGAAACTGTTCACGAATATCCTCCGGGATTGCTGCATTTGCCGCCTCACTGAGGCGGAAGACCTCAATTGGACGAGGCGCGTTAGGATTGTACACCGACGCTTGCGGTACGTGCACACGACCTGCCTGATATGGCGTATATGGAGATGGCTGGGCCGCCGCATACGGGTGCGGTACCGGCGCCGGTTGATAAGCAGGGGAGTGAGGAGTTTGCGGTACAAACGCGCTAGGGCGCCTCTGCAGAGCCGCTTGATAAACCTGGACTGGCGGTACTTGAGGCTGTTGGTAGGCAACTGGAGGCACAGGAACAGGAGAGCCCTGGGTAGGAGGAATTGGGGCAGCTGGAGAGCGCGCAGGGACGGGGACGGCCCCAACTGCGGGAGCCGTGCTGGGACTACCGACGTTTGGTCGCGTAGATGGTTGGGTAATCGATGGCAGACGAGGCGGAACAGTTGACAGTACGGGCTGGGGTAATGATGGCGGCGGAGAAGGAGTCGGCTCAGGTGGCGGAGATTCCTGTCGAACAAATTTCCAGTCAGTATCCCCTACAATTCAAAGGGGTTCACGGACGAAACTCCCCGACCGACTAGGAGTTAAGATACTCACATTTTCGTCGCGTGGACGTCGATGTACCGCTCCAACAATGGGTGGCGCATTATCGGCGCCCCAGGTTGGTTTGGGCAGATCGTCAGTTTCCTTCGCATCACTCTTCAGCAAGTGCTTGATCGGACTCGGTATCTTCTTGATCCTCCGAGGGACATCAAAGAGGTCCATCTCGTAATCTTTTTCTCGCACTTCATCAGGAAGGCAACTCGCCCATGTTTTAATCTTGTTGAGCTTGTGCTTCTCCTCGTTGTAGCGTGCCTCACAGACGTATACTTCCTTGTCAGGAGGAAGGCCTCTAGGGCGCCCGCGGTTGTACCGAGTAAAGAACATGACGAAGCAGCGGTCGACAACCTCTTCGATCCGATGATCACGGTACTGGCCAGTCTTGACCACCTCGTTGGGATAGAAATGTTTCTCAAAATGATGGACTGTCTGCTCAGGACGGTAGTACCAGCAAGCATTGACCCACTTTTCGCCTTCAGAATCCTGCCATGTGCGGTAGATCTGTGCGACGATCGGCTTGGTCACATCGTTCGGATTCTGTATATGAACCCAGTCACCCACTTTCCACAGCTCACCTTTGTACAGAATGCCATCAGGCAATGGGAGACGACCATCCTCCATCAGATATTCGCTGTCAGGTTTCCTCTTCTCAATCTCAGCAAGCCTCCTCGCCTCAACTTGCAAATCAACAGCGTCCTTGTATATCTGACTGTCCGGCTGGTTGTAGGCTTTGGCATTGTTGAACATCAGATCCATATCGCGCATGAAGTGGTCAACCGAGTTGTACTTCTTGCGCTTGGACTTCCGCTTGATAATGTCAATCGCAATCGGCTCCTTGATTTCAACGTAATAGTCCGGATATGTAGCTTTGTCTGGTAAGCGTTCAAAGTGTCGCACTTTGAGCATGCCAAGAGGCCCTTTGAGCTTCCGGATCCCTTTCAAAACTGCCTTGATCCTGGCCTCCATAGGGGTATCGACACGCGGGGGCCGGCCCCGCTTCTTTCTGAGCTCTGGGTCGGCTGATTTATGTCCGTCGTCCTTACCTGCGTCCCGTTTCCAGCCAGGGCGGGGACCGCGCTTCTTCTTGCGACGACCATCATCATCGGAATCATCCTCGTCCTCCTCCTCATCATCGTCCTCATCGTCCTCATCCTCCTCCTCCGGAAGAGGATCCGCCTCCGGAATCTCTCCCAAATCGGGAAGCTCGGCTTCTTCAGCGGTGATGATCCTTTGTTTAACCAGTTTTTCAAATTCTGCTATGAAAACGTCCTATTTTGGAGAACAAGGATCAGCACCGTGGTATTCGTCGACACGGATATGGAGTTAAAAACTTTACAAACGTACGAACCTTTATGACAAGCGCATCCTCATACGCCTGTGAATTTGGCCGATTATACGTCTGCGCATTGTGAGGGATCTAAAGCGAAGATAACACCGTGAGTAAAAGCCATAGTGGTTCCACAATGGCAACAAAGTTGCGACACTTACCAGGGCGCAGTCTCGCACGAACTCAGCGAAGTTCTTGTATTCTCGCTTGTTTATCTTCTGTTTCAAGATACTTAGGGCCATGGGCTCTTTGATGATCTCATAATAATCAGGAACATTGCGCTTATTCACACTGCGCTGAAACAGCCTCGATGGGTCATGGCCACTGTAACGGGAAGAAAGTCAGCTAAATCTAAATGGCGCGGACACAGCTCGACATGTTGAGACGTCTATATTGGGGCTTTTCTTTTTTTTCTTTTTTTTGCTGCGTTGTTCTGCTTGAAAGTCGCAAGCAATGCATATGCGGACTTACTCCTCTTCTCTGAATTCATAGATAGCCAGAACAACGTCCATCATCGACCTCCATTGCTCGTCAGTGACGCTGCTCGTTGCAGAACTATCGCCCTTGCTATCATCCTCAATCGATTTGACCGGCTCCTCAGGAGCGGGTTGGCTTTGCGACGGCTCCGACGCCTTTTCCATGACGTTGACAACACCCCTACCACTGAGAATGACACCCACAGTCAGAAAGCGGGTGCAGAAAGACTCAAGATAGCGGACCACAGTCTTTCAGGGAGATGCAGATTGCTCTACTGGCGCGCAAAAAAAAAGAGGCGAGATGAGGAGACAGAGGTTCGCGCATAATTACGCTGACTCAGCGAGTTCCTGTCACGGTTTGGCTGGGACGATACCATACGGTAACTACCCGAACGTTACCGTCACGTGTATATTTACCTATTTCATACAGGGACTGGGATTACAGGGACTGGGACATTCATTGGTAATATTATGCACATTATCAAGCTATGTATTCCAAGTCCCCAGCGGACCTTACCTACTTGTTGATTTCCGATGTTTCACAACCATCAAGCCTTGTCAAGTCCAATCTGCTCTTCTACTCCATATCAGCTTCCGTACGAGAGAAAGATCGACTAAGTCGGTACGGATTAGCGTAAGGGCGGGCCAGTGCGGGGATAGCTCGAAGCCTCCTGGACGTATGTGTAAAGTATCTCTCCTGCGTCATTGTCTTTTGAGCCTTCCATAGCATTATGCATAGCGTTTATGTCTATAAGCTCGAATATATTTTTTTCTTTGGTCTATCCATGTTTGAGGACTTTGTCAACCAACGCAATGGCCGGGGTTTTATGCCCGAAATCTCTCAGCAACTCGAAAGTACAATTCGTGCCTTTTCCCAGTACCTACTACAAGTCTCCGTGTTGTAAGGGCAATGCGCCGCCAGCCCCACATCCAACTGGTTGCTGCTCGTCAATCGTCATTCCATCTCATCCATCCCTCCAGTGGCTCTGTTTCGTACCGGCGACTAGACACTCCCGTGTGCCTGATATTCTGGAAACTTTTCGATCTGTTGTCTGGGTTTTGAAGGCTAGACTTTCTGTCTTAGACGTATCTACAAGATAGTTGACGTTCCCCATCGTTCCTGTCCGTCTTTCGGCTCTCTATCTACTTAGCTAGTGGGAGATGAGGATCCGAGTCCGTGGACCTGCTGGACAGTCTACCGTCACTCTTGATGACACTGCAACTGTCAATGATCTTCGCGCTCACATTGTCGAGAAAACTGGGTTGACAGCATATGATGTGAAGTATGGATATCCGGACCTCAAACCTCTGGTACTAGATGGGTTCCCTTCGGAACAGAAAATCAGAGACCTCGGGATTAGTCTAAATGGCGAACAACTGCTCGTCACCAGGAAGGATGATTCTGCACCGACTACTCTCCCACAAGCACCAAGCGCCAGGGAAAGCGAAAGACAATTATCCACGGCGCAGGATGATGATAGGAAACTGTCTCTATCGCGCAAGCCGCATGAGGGTGTGTCGGACGATCCTCCCGAGATTGCTTCGCCTGAACATTCGGGCACTTTTGTGCTGCGCATCATGCCTGACGATAATTCCTGTCTGTTTCGCGCGGTAGGGAGTGCAATCATGGGAGGAATGGACACTATGACCGAGCTTCGGTCGATTGTCGCCCAGACTATTCAAGCGAACCCGGACGTCTACTCAGAGGCAGTGCTAGAGAAAAAGCCAGACGACTATTGCCGTTGGATTCAGCAGGAGAACTCATGGGGCGGAGCAATTGAGCTCAGCATTTTGAGCAAACATTTCGATATCGAGATCTGCTCAATCGACGTGCAAACGCTGCGGGTGGATCGGTTCAATGAAGGTCCGCCCACACGGTGTGTCCTGGTGTATTCTGGAATTCACTATGATACCATTGCTTTGTCACCGTCGGATCCACCATATACTCACGCTTATGCGCCTCCGGAGTTTGACACCAAGGTCTTTGATGCAGCCGATCCGGTGGTTCTGGAGAAAGCACTGGCGTTATGCGAGATTCTTCAGAGCAAACATTACTATACAGATACTGCAGGCTTTCGCATTCGCTGCAATACTTGCGGCGGCATTTTCATCGGCGAAAAAGGAGCCACCAAGCATGCGACTCAGACAGGACATTATGATTTCGGCGAAGCAAGCTGAAAAAGCCGCAATGGATACAGCTGGTTGCGCGTATCTCACCCTTTGGATACGTTATTCGATAAGGTATGTCTTTATATGGAGGGCGGGAAGTTCTCAAACTATATGCAAAAATGTGAAAAGCCGGGAGTCAAGAACGTTGTAGTACAACACATAGCGCGTTTATATATAGCGAGCGACATTGAGTTGACACAAGACATAATGCCGTTCTTTGTGGGATATCATAATCATACATAATTTCCAAACCTTCTACACCATCGCTACTTCGTCCGCCTCGTCATCGTCTCTGCCGCCTTCTTCGTCCTCCCCAGTATCTGCGCTGTCCTCAGGATGTCCACCCCACTCCACGTCGTGCTCTATAGGGTTGGTGAAGAACTCGTGCAGCAAAGCTTCCCTAGCACTCAGTCGTTTGTAGGGGTCCAGCTCCATGAGGCCAGCCAGGAGTCGAGTGGCTTGCTTCTCGCTCTCGGTCAATTCTTCCACACAGCTGGCCCATTTCACCAGTTTCTCCCAGCCATAGCCCTTTTCACCAATGGTAGGAATGTTGGTTTCGAAAATTTGACCATGCATGGCGGCTGCAGTCTTCATCCGACGGGTGCCAAATATACTCGCCATTTCGATCATGGCATCAACATCGTCGGCGGAGTTGAAAAAAGGGAATCGACGTCCGAGTAAGGTTAACAGAATCACGCCGGCAGACCACATGTCTATCTTGGTTGTTTGAGATGTACATTTGAAAAGAACCTCCGGCGCCCGGAAGCCGCGAGTTCCCGCTCGATTAGCACGTCTTGCCGGCCGTGAGTCGTTCTTAGGGTAGCCAGCCGACAGCGTGGACGTATAGCAATGAGTATAGTAGTAGCTCTGCAGCAACCGACTGCGGCGTACAAAGTTCGGATTGGCGCAAAGACAGGTGCCGGTATATTCAGACCCCTCTCGCTGGAAAGGACGAATGAGAAATTCGGTAGTGAGAACCTTTGAAAGTGGACACTTACTTCCGCTAGACCAAAGTCTACAAGGACTCCTTCGCGAAGCTCAGGGTTGTACAAGAAGTTACTGTCAAGGGGCTTAGAGAACAAGTGACGCAACGGGCCGACACGCAGCAATGCACTTACGTTGGCTTGATGTCTCGATGAAGAATATTGTGCTTATGGACGGAGTTTAGCGCAGTGAAAAGGGATCTGAAATAATGTCGCATATCCGCGACCATAAATGTGCGATATTGAATGCGAAAGTCAGTATGGGGAAAGAAAGGCAAGACAGCCACAACCTGGTCCTGGTGCCTGAAAGCTGTGATCAAAGGGCACACGGACCGGCAGCCCCGAAGGTCATGGAGGAGCTCCAGCTCATTTTGGATTCTCAACGGACTGCTGGTAACGTAGATCTTCTTCAGTGCAACGTATCGCGGTTTTCTCTGTTTGTTGACCGACTCCTCCACTCGCCGTCTCTTTGCTGGGGGACTTGACCAGTCACTGCTTTGGTTTTTATGGAAAGTGTCCCAATCATTCTTGTAATGGTTGTACAAAAGGTCCTCGGCTTTGTAGACTGTTGAAAATGTCCCTATGGTAACCAAAGTCCGACGCTCAGCCATACATTCACCAAGTGGGAAGGGACAATTCCGAGCATAAGACAGAAGGGATGCCGGTACCTTCACCTATCCTGTTCACCAGACGAAATCGATCAGAGATCCCCGGGAATGTATCCTCAAGCTTCTTCATGTCTTCCCGGACCGAGTCGTCCACTTCTTCTTCCTCCTCATCCTCACCTTCATGGTCGCTCTCTCCGCGACGTGAGTCTGCTGAGGCGTCACCGTCTGAGGCAGTACCATCGTCTACCACAGCCATGTGCCCTTGTGTGCGATGATGGTCCGTAGCCCCAGCCTTTTGCAGTCCAAAGACACCAGTAATAGGGGCGTGCATTGTGGACATGTCACTAATCAGAGAGATGTTACCACCACTATGGCCAAAGCTAAGTGAGGGGTTCCTCAAAGATCTTGCATGTATCAACGCGATCGACTAGATCCGGGCCCCAGACCACAGGGTTGGCAATGCGTTCGGGTTATGAATGGATTTTGCAGGGCAGCGCGCGTCGAGGATCTCTCAAAACATCAATCTCGCGGTTGATGACACGGTAGTCGCGTATATGATTGTGTATGATCCATCAAAACGGTAGAGTCTAAAGATAGAGAAACCAGCATGCAAAATGTCCCTTTCAGGTATGGTGGTGTTTGTTTATTTCTGTTTAGGATACATTATTGGTTACAGGTAATATTTCCTAGGTACTCCATACCTACCTATGTACCTTAGGTACCTAGTTACCTTACCTTAGACACCTTTAACTTAGTCTCTTATCATACACAGTACCTCTCTATAGTTCAATACATTGCATGACCCTTTTCATCACTGACATTCTGTTAAGCTCCTACTACCTTATCTATGAGTTTAAGTCGCAACCTAAAATGATTGTAAGGTAGATTCCATATAGTATTACAACGTAACATACAGAATTTCACCCAACCCTGTTCAGGATATCTCGTACCGCCATGGCAGAATGATCTAAAAAGGAAAAACACAAACAAAACCTAGGCACGTCAGCATCACCAAACATTCTTCTCCTTTCCCGCCGCCGACTCTTTCACCCAAATTCATCCCCCTCTTTACCCCCACTCTGAAGAGTGAAAGTCCCGTTCCGTCACTCAACCCCTCAAGTGCCCTTCGAGGACATCCTCGCAGTCGGCTCAGGATGGAGGACAGGATTCAGTTCGATATCAACGAATCACTCAAATATTACTTGAGTGATCCGGCCTCTGTTCCCACAAACGATGCCGACCCTGAACTGCTGGATTGCGAAAGCGACCTCGAGCATTTAACGCCAGTATTGATCGATAATGTGCTCAATCCCATCGTAGATGCTGTGGCTGAGAACCCCGAAGCGTTGGCGAGACAGTCATTTTTTGACTCACTGCAATTCCTTCTAAAGTGCGCGATGGCCCC